GTACTGGGTCTGGAGTCAGGACAGACTTGGGTTAGAATCCAGCCTCAGGCACTAATTAGCTGTGTGAGCCTGGACAAGTCATTTAATCCTGTTTGCCTCAGTTTTCCCATCTGTAAAATGAGGGTAATAATCGCACCCCCCTCCCAGGGTTGTTGGGAGGATAAAACAAGATACTAATGGTAAAGTGTTTAGTGCAGTGCCTGACATACAAAAGGCAGCTGTTATTGTTATTACTACCTAAAAGGCCATAGGTCACTTAATTTCTTCTTCACTCTGCTAATTCACCTGGAAAATGGGAAAATTGGACTGGATGACCTCGAAAGACACTTCAATAGCTAAATCTATGGTTCTATGATCCTCCTAACAAGGTTACTCTGAAGGGAACAATATTAAGGTGTTTGCTTAAAATATGATAATAAAATAATCATTTCACCCCGATCTCTCTACCACTTATGCAGAATAATAGTAGTAGCTAATATAGTACTTTGTTTGCAAAGCACTTTACTTACTTTACCTGTAAGTCTCCTATGAGCCTTACGCCTGTGACAATACTAATTCCCATTAAAGACTTGAGGGAATTAGGGCAGTGGAAGCTTAAGCGGGCGTGTCACTGTTCGCTCGGCGATATCAGGGTGAGCTTTAGGTTATGGCTCTAGAAGCAGGCTCTCATTTTCAGGAAGGCATCACAGAACCACTGGGGCTTCCTTTAGGCCAGTGCCCTCACTTTGCAGAAGAGGAAACTCGAGGCCCGAAGGCGAAGGAGTTTGCCCAGAGTCACAAGGGAGCGGAGCTCAGACTCCACCTCCTGCTCTACGACTGGGCAGGGTCGCCTTGGGAGGCCCCTCCTCCAGCTCGGAGACTTCAGGGAGGTCTGGGGGGCCCGGGGAGCGACGGGCAGCTGGGCAGGCCGGCCAGTTCAACCTGCTTTTATTAGGCGCCTTGGGCGGGGCAGCGAAACGGAGCCGAGCCTGGGCCCTCCAGAGGCGGCCAGGGCAGAGACGTCAGAGAAGAGCCTCAGAGACCCTCCTGGGGCGGGGTCACCAACGCAGGCCCTCAGCTAGCCTGGGCTCTACCGGCCCTAGAGTGGAGGCCTCGGCTCGTCTCCTCCCTCAGCTCCGCCCCGCTCCGCCTCGAGCAGCTGAGCAGGCGGAAGGGAGGCAACCGCAGCCCTGAGGTAAGGCACTTAGACCAGCCCCCTCCTCGGGGCGCATGCGCAGGAGCCCCTCCCTAGCTTCTTTCCGCCCTCCTCCTGGAGCGGAAGTAACGTATGCGCAGACTTCCGTCCTCTTTCATCTTCTCGCGACACTTGAGGCGCCCCTTCCTTTTCTCTTTTGCGGCGGCGGCGACATGGTAGGTGACTGTGGCGGGGTCTCCGGTCCCGAGGCGGCCTGGCCCGGCCAGGCAGGGACGCCTCGCGGGCGGGATGGCAGGGAACCCTACCTCTGGTTCCTTTTTTTCCCTCCCCCTTCCCTTCCCTCTCCTCGCGGGGTTCTTGGGGCAGGGGCCGGGAGTGGCCACGCGGCCCGGGCCTGAGCACAGGCAGCGGCCCGGGGCGCACGGGGCGGGACGGCGCAGAGGCCCCTGCTCGGGCCGCCTTCCGCTCCCCGACGTCCCGACTCTTTCCCCCCGCAGCCTTCCCGGCTAAGGAAGACGCGGAAGCTCCGCGGGCACGTCAGCCACGGCCACGGGCGCATCGGTGAGTGATGGCCGGAGGGGAGGGCCACGCAGTGGGAGGGGGGGCCCTGGGCCCGGGCCTGCGGTCGTTCACTCAGGACTCCCTCTCTCCAGGCAAGCACCGGAAGCACCCCGGAGGCCGCGGTAATGCAGGAGGGCTGCACCATCACCGGATCAACTTCGACAAATAGTAAGTTTAATTTCGCCGCCCCCGGCGGGGTCGTGGTGCCGAAGTAGGGTTTCCCACCCTCCTGCCGGCTAACAGGTGGTCAAATTGACTCCCGCCGTCACCTCGTTCAAATTTCATTTTCATCTTTTAACGCGTTTGTAGAGCGCCTACTGTGTGTTGGGGGAGAGGGGAGGGAAATAGCAGCCAAAAATAGTTAATGAGATTAACTAACGTTTAGTATTTATCGGTAAGTGCATTAGAGACTCAGGCCAAACTTGTGGACCCTGTGATATCTGCAGGAAAAGTTGTTGTGATAAAGTAGATTTGTTGAAACCGAGACTTAGAGTCACATCTAGGCATTACCTGTTGTCCTGGTGTGCTAAAGTACTCGAAAAGTAACAGCTAACTCTATTCACTGGCTGGTCATCTCATGATCCATTCAGTCACCGGGTTAGGAATATTTATTAAGAAACTTTAAAAACCCTGCTATGCAGTGGTGTTGGTTAAGATGAAGAGGGCTTAGAGATTTCCCAAGGGTCACACAGCTAGTAAATGTCTGAAGCTGGATTTGAAAAGTTACAACTTCTGGCTCCAGGCCCAGTTCCTCTGGGGTGAATGATAACTCTACAATGGCAAATGCCACTTCCTCAATGAAAAGTTAAGATTTAAAATAACTCTGACCATGGGCAAGTCATTTCCATCTCTGGGTCCTAATTTTCCTGTTTTTAAAATGGGGCTGGGCTTTGGTCTTTTTAAGGACCTTCAGGGCCAGACATTTTGTTTACTTGTAAAATCTATCATATTTTGAATTACTTCAAATAAAAAGATTGTCCTTCCTGGGCAGACTTTAGTAATTAGGAATGGGCAGCTGACCCCAGGCCTGACACTAAATGATGCTGGTTTCTTTTCATCAGTCATCCAGGTTACTTCGGAAAAGTGGGTATGAGGCATTACCACTTGAAGAAGAACCAAAGCTACTGCCCAACTGTCAACCTTGATAAGCTGTGGACACTGGTCAGTGAGCAGACCAGGATTAATGCTGCCAAAAACAAGGAGGGGCTTGCCCCTATCATTGATGTTGTGCGGTCGGTAAGTGAGCTGAACTTTCACGTTGCCTACCTGTATGTATCCTCAGGCTTCAGGTTTTTAAGCTAGAAAGGGAACCTTGAAGCAGTAAATAAGAGAAATGTTTCCTTTAGCCTCCCAGTATAACCTGATGACCACATACCCATAAGCCAGTCCTTTGTCTTTGACCCGAGACTAGAGTCACATCCTGACAATAACTGTTGTCTTGGTGTGCTAGAGTCCTCGGAGAAAATCTTCTGACCATTATTCACTGGCCTTGGCATCTGGTGCCACAGTCAGTCACCAGGTCAGTTACATTGTTTTTGGCTTACTTGAAAGATTAGTGGAACTGTGTGACCAAAAAAATGGATCCACTTTTGGGTACCAGTAAATCTTACTTTGATTGTAAATGGGCTAGATAGGATAATGGTTCTTATTTAAGCTTTTCCCCCTCAACTTTCTAGGGGTACTACAAAGTCCTAGGAAAAGGGAAACTCCCTAAGCAGCCGGTCATCGTGAAGGCAAAGTTCTTCAGCAGAAGAGCAGAGGAAAAAATCAAGGGTGTTGGTGGAGCCTGTGTCCTTGTGGCATAAAAATCCAATGCTGTCAAATAAAACAAATATCTTTATTAAACATGCTGGGTTTTGCTACATTAAGGTGCTTAGATTTGAATGTGTGTGGGTTGGGAGATCTAAATTACCCTTGTTGGTCATCCATTGTTCACTGTCACTTAGAAAGATGGCTTCAGTTTCCTGACATGGGTACTCAAGGGAGACGAGTACTAGTTAGCCTCATGTTAGGCCATATGATTTGTGGAATAGTTTTTGAGTAAACCACAACAGATGAGACCTTAGGATTTAATCACTAACCTCTTCCCAGTCTTTTTTTATAGTTAACTTTTGTCCCCCAGTGTGTATCTGCAATAGGCTGTTTACTGAACCTTGTGTTGGGTTTAATCAGCAGCTGTTTAATAAATGCTTTATTTGCCTAGATACCAGGGCTAAAAAAAACCACAACATCAACATACCTATATTTTGTAAGCCAATTAGCTATTACCTGGTTATGATCTCCCTTTCCATAAAAATATCAGAGCTTGTTCTGTGTCTTCACATACATGTGATATCCACATTGAATGGTTAATATTTCCTCAAACCTGAAGTGGGTAGTGGAATAATGATCTCTTGAAGTCCTCTTCCTATCAGTACGAATGTATTATTAAGCCCCTACCATGTGACAGGCAGTGAAGATACAAAAAGCAAAGGTGGATACTCCCTGTCCTCAAGCTTCTAATGGAGGAAGCATGAGCAGAAATATATGGAAAACATCTGAAGGATTCCTAGAGACACAGGTGAGGGAAAGCATTCCAGGCAGGAGGGAGGGAGGGGTATAGTTGAGACAGTGGGCAGAAGGAAAGTCATGCAAGGAGCAGCCAGTGCAACAGTGGGGGCTGTATCCTGAGTAAGTAGAAGGTGGAAGATGTAGGGAAACAAAGTAGTCAGGGACCAAGCTATGTTGAGACTTTGATTCCACTGTTTATATTTGATTCTAGAGATAATAGGATTCACTGGTGTGGGGGAGGGGGGCAGTTTCATAGTCAAGCTTGCTCTTTAGAATTTACAAGAACTGATGCTGAGTAAAGTAAGCAGAACCAGAACATTATACACAGTAACAGCAACATTGTGCTATGGTAAATTATAAATGACACTGCTCTTCTTAGCAATACAGTGATCCAAGGTGATGAAGAATGAGCTAGAGTCAGGAGAGACAGGCAGAAAGGCAACAGTCTAAGTTCAAGGTGGAGGGTGGTGGCTGTAGGAGTATAGAAGAGGTGGGATGGTCAGAGAAGTTGGGGAGATAATAGCTACTGATTGGTTATGTGGGGTTCAGAGGAGCGAAGGATAACACAAGGTTGCAAATAAAGTTACATAGGTTTAGGACAGAAAGATACCAAATTTGGACTTGGTGAGTTTGTGATGCCTGTGAGGTATCCAATTTTAAAAGTTCATAAGCAATTTGAAATGTGGGAGTTCAGGAGAGGCTAGAATATATAAACCTGGGAGTTACCTGCATAGAGATAATAGTAATACCTAACATCAGTAAAGTACTTCAAGGTTTATTGGATACTTTACAATTGGATCATTTGATCTGGATACAATCTCAGGTGAGGAAATGACTGAAGACTTGGTTGAGGTCACAGCTAGTAAGTGTGAGGCAGGATTTGAACTTGGGTCTTCCTTTCTCCAGATCGTTACTCTTCTGTACCACCCAGCTGCCATACAGATGCATCCAATGGGTCAACAGTAGTCAGTGGTCTCAGGTAAAGCTAAGGAATATTTGGGCATGATTATATATGGGGGAAAGGGGAATATGATACCTGTAGTTAACAAGATTCAGAGTATATACAGGGGTTGTCCTAGGCAAGGAAAAGGGCCTTTGGATTGGAGTAAAGGAGATAATGGGGGTTATTTACAGGGGAAGTGATAGGAGAGGAAGCTGGTGAATGGCTTCCTTTTAGGTTACCAGAAAAGGTAGGGGCAAGAAAGTGCTGTGGAGAGGTTTAAGAAAACTTTATCTAGAAAAACTTGAAACCTCCTTCCAACTCTCCATAACCAAAGCTTTCAGCTCCACTAATAGTGCATCCATACAAAGCCATCAGGTAAAGGGATTTCAGTGTCCTTTTTACATTAGTAAGCAATCGTTTATCAGTTGTCAGGTACTATGGTAAATGATGAGCACATAAAGACAACTATCCCTCCTCTCAAGGTGCTCATATTCTAACTCGGAAGACATACATCATTAGGGACATATGAGGTAGGCGAAGGGCAGGCAGCAGCTGAGGGGACCAGAAAAAAAGTGTTAGGTCACCATTAGCAACTTTATTTCTCCTGGCAGCTGGTTTTCCCTGAATCTGGGAAAAAATAGCCAACTGTATGGAAAAGGCCATTGAATGTGGCAAGTGGAGGTCATTGGTGACAGCTGAAGAAATTTCAGTGATGCTGGAAACCGTATTGCAGGAGATTAAGCAAGAGTTGGTAATGAGAAAGTGGAGGCATTGGGTGAAGCCACCTTCCATACATTTGGCAGTAAATAGTGGTAAAGCTAAGTCCAAAACACGTTTCTAAGTACCTGCTCTAGTGTCCTTACTACCATACCACTCTGCTTCTCAAAAAGAACTGGGGGAACAAGTCCTCCTTCCTACTCTATAGGGTCTGAACAAATCTTTCCCACCACCTGAGAGTAGAAAAGCCTAGACAAGAACATAACGTATGGATTTGCAGCAAACCCTGCCCAATACTGATAAAAGTACTCAAAGTGGGTCGGTTAAAAATACAAGACTAGCATTATCATCATCAATATAAGGAGAAGGAATGGAGGAACTCTGAGTTTCATTGGTGAGGAAAACCCATATCAGTGTTATATATGGCAGTTCTCAAACTTTTTTGGTCTCAGGACGCCTTATACTCTTAAGAATAGTTGCAGATCCTCCAAAGAGCTTTTGTTTACATGGATTGTGTCTATTGATATTTGCCTTGCTAGAAATGGTAACATCTTAGTATTATGAAAAACCCCTGAAAGGGTTTAGGAAGTCCCACACTTGAGAATTGCTGTCATCATCAAAGCATTCAAAGTTGAGTCAGGAATAGTGGACATATCTACTCCACATACAGGACTAGGTAAGCATATACTATGCCTTACGCGACCTCATTTGAGGTTTTCCTTGCATACTGGAGTGGTTTGCCATTCCCTTCTCCAGATTATTTTACAGATGAAAAACCTGAGGCAAACGGATAAATGATTTGCCTGGGGTCACCCAGCTAGTTTTAAGTGTTTGAGGTTGGATTTGAACTCTGGTCTTCCTGACTCCAGACCCAGCTCAGTTCTTTACTGCACTACCCAGCTTCCCACAACCAACAAAAACCATACCTGAGAAAGGAATGGGGCAGAATTAATAAAACTTCCAAGAAAAAAAAGCCATGGTAGAGTTATACTAAGGCCTTCATAACAATGGCAGAATGACACTGTCAGGCAAGAAAAAAAGTAATAGAAAATGTAAGATACCAGGCAAGGTAGGGATTTTGTGCGTTAAAGGAGTGTTCTTCACAGTAACAGAGTACAAGCTAATGGAGATATTTGCTCCTCGAATAATACATACAAATTTTAGCTCAAATTGTTTTCTGAAACCGTTTGAAAAGAAAGTGCCCTGTATTTTATGTTTCCACGAATTTACTTACTCTGCAGACCCACGAGCAGTGTCTGGCAGCTAAGGATTCCAGTTCTGTCATACACAGGTGCCTGGCTGAGCCCAGTGCGCGGACCACAAGCTCTTACCCTGGGGTCCACGAACTTTTTTTTTCCAATGTTTTGATAGCGATTCCAGTAGAAAGGTTTGCTTTGTCACCTTTTTAAGAACTCGATTCTGCCCCTGGCGTCCACGTGGAGGCTGAACGGCCTGCCAGTCATTCACTGCAATGCGCTTATTTTACCCACGGGGGTAGGGGGGAGCCGCGCTCCCATTGGACCGCGGAAGGAGCTGGGGAGGGGGCGCCGCGAGAGGCTTTCGCCCCTGCCAACGTCAGGGTACGCCTCGCAACCTACAGGCCTCCTTCCGCTCCTCCCGGCAGACAGGTTACTCGGCCCCGCCCCCACGCCCTCCGAATTCGTGCGCGAAGTTATCGCGAGAAGACGAGAGCCACTTCTGGAAGGCCACCTCTGATAGGAGGCTTTCGCCCTGGCCCCTCCCAGAGCAAATATGGACGGCCTCCTCCAGGGGCGGAAACGGAAGTAGAGTTAAGTGAGCCTCCCTCCATTTTCCAAGCCGGCCTGTCGGTGCATCCTATGAAAGGAGCCCACCGGCTCCCGGGACTGCAGCCATCCAGTTCCAGAAAGAGCGGACGACGCCTACTCAGCTCGGAGTCTCCGAAACCGGAGTCCCCGCCCCTCTAGGCCTCTTCTGTAGGGCGTAACTCCAAAGCACTGCGTAGGTCCCCGAGGGCGCCCGCCCAAGACGTCATCGCAACCACGCCCCCTCCCCCCGCCCCGCCGCGAGCTGGAGATACTGCGGGGCAAGCCATTTACCCTCGGTCTGCTTCAGTTCTTTCATCTATAAAATGGGGAGAATAGTCCCTCCCTCTCAGGGTTGCTGTGAGGATAAAGTGAGATGTCTGTAAAGCTCTTGCAAACCTCAAACATAACTGGGGGTTTATTTCATCATCATTGCATTGCCTCCCAGGCCCCCTCTCCCCCCACCCCCATGGGTGCTAAAATGGAGTGAAATAAAGCCCGCTCAAAAAAATGCCTACTATGTGCCAGGCCTACTATGTGCTGTACCAAACGCTGGAATTTTCTCCCTCCTCAGCTAAAATCTCAGCTCCTACCAGAAGCCTTTCCCAATGCCCCTTAATGCCAGTACCTTTCCTCTGTGATTATGTCAGCACCTTGTCTGACTCGGAATACATAGGTGCTTAATAAAGGTCTCTTGGTTTGGATTACTGAATTATCTCCAGTTTAACCTCTTTTTATCTTGTTTGTACATAGTTGTCTGCATGTTGTCTCTCCCATTAGACTGTGAGCTCCTTGAGGGCAGGGACTGTTTTTTGTCTTTGTATCTTTGAGGCACGTCACCTGGCACATAGTAAGCACTTAATAAATGCTTTTTGACAACTTGCAAAAACCCCGGACTCTTTTATAAAAGGGACCTAGACGCTGGAGAGATGCTCTCCTCTTCATCCCAACTTAAGAAACAACAGATATTTGTAAAGCACCTTATAAGTTTCAAGATGCTTTTCTCACAGTTGCACATAAAAGCTATGATTACACTATAGTGTAGTCAATTAAATGTGCAATAGTATTAAGTCTTTAAAAAAATGTACATATTTTAATTTAAAAAATACTTTTGCTTTTTGTTTGTTTTGTTTTGGCGAGGAAATCTGGGTTAAGTGACTTGCCCAGGGTCACACAGGTAGTAAGTGTCAAGTGTATGAAGCTAGAAAATACTTTATTGCTAAAAAAAAAAAAAAGTGCTAACCATCATCTGAGCCTTCAGTGAGTTGCAATCTTTTTGCTGGTGGAGGGTCCAGCCTCCATGCTGATGGCTGCTGACTGGTCAGAGCGGTAGTTGCTGAAGTTTGGAGTAGCTGTTGTAACTTCTTAAAATGATGGTTGCCTGATAGATTAACACCTTCTTTCATTTGAACACTTAGAGCCCACTGGAGGGTTATTAATTGGCCTAATTTCAATATTACATCTCAGGAAACAGGAAAGCCTGAGAGGAGGGAGAGAGATGGGAACAGCCAGTCTGTAGAGCCGTCAGAATACATACAACATTCATCAGTTAAGTTCGCCATCTTATATAGGCTCAGTTTGTGGCGCCCCAAAACAATCATAATAGTAACATCAAAGATCACTCATCACCATAACAGATACAATATTTCAAACTTTTTCATTATTGTTATTATAAGAATTACCAAAACATGACACAGGGACACAACGTGAGCACATGCTGTTGGAAAAATGGCGCACCAGTAGACCTGCTGGAGGCAGGGTTGCCACAAAGCTTCAATTTGTAAGAAACAAAATTATCTGTGAAGCACAATAAAGCAGGCTATGCCTTGGTATTCAAGTGGAAGAGGTCTTAAAATACTTACATTCCAACTTTTATTTTAAGATGAAAGAAAAGTGTGGCCCAAAGAGGAAGGGCCAGCCTCCAGCTGGGCTTTGACTGCACCTACGTTATTCTCTGATGCCCAGCTCCCCCACCACCCCCCACCCCTTTCAGCTTCCTTGTCTTCTTTGATTAGATTGTAAGCTCCTTGAGGGCAGGGGCTGTCTTTTTATTATTTGTATCCTCAGTGTTTACCACTATGTCTGGCACACAGCAGGCACATAATAAATATTTATTGACAGTGACTATGAATCTAAAGCTTCATTACCCCCTCCTTTCTTTCCAAATGACGGCCTGTCCATGTTGAACATTCATAATAACATAACTTACCCATTATCAGGCTACATAAAGACACAAGGCAGCATTTTGTCTTTTTGGAAACTTTTTTTTTTTATACAGACACACATACACCAAAGGGTAGAGTACATTACTATGATTGCAAGAGGTGCAGATGAGAGTTCAGGACAGGAAGAATCATGATCCAGGACCAGGTATCACAAATTAACATTCACACCAGAGGGTCAGAAATTGTGGGATGTCAGCGAGACCACAACTGGAGGGGGACACAAGTAAGTGTGGATGTTCCGGGTTTTGTAACAATCTGGCAGCTTACATCGCCAGCCTCTTGTTCTCCAAGGAGCTGCCCACATCTTACCCCACAAGTAGGATGGGCTTTGGAGCAATTCTGAGAGCTGGGTCCTACCTGTCCTGCTTTCATGTGAAATTTCAAGGAATAAGGCTTGACAGAAACAAAACAATTTGCCCTTGTCTCTGACATCCTTCCCACTGAAGGCCTGATAGAAGAAATGGCATATTCATCAGACCCATTGAAGACATCTTCCCAGTCCTCTTCACCCTTTTGAAAAAACAAGCATAAGCCAGAATGTGGTGTCGTGGACCTCTAATGCCCTGCCACCTGAGCTTCGGAAGTCGAAACTCAAATGGGCTAAGCCAGTTGGACACCAGCACTAAGTTAGGGAGGAAGATGGTGAGCTTCTGGGAGCAGAGGGGTCACAAGGAGGGCTGAACCCAACCTGGAAACGAAGCAAGGCAATGCTGACCAGAGTGGGACTTGCCGTGAGTAGCCCCTGGACTTCCAGCTGGGGCAAGAGAGGGATACTCGGTCTTAAACGACATTTTAAATGAAACGAGCACAAAATGCTTATGAACACGAGCAGCAGGGTTCTCAGAGATCGGAGGCAGCATTGATCTAGACTGCATCAGGAACATGAAACTATTCAAGTGAGTCACTTTCAGCTCCTCTCTCAGGAGCTAATAGGTGGGTTCCCAGCCAAAGTGTTGTGGTGGGAGAGGGAAAGGGAAGGGAGGGTATGTCTTTAGCCAAAAGGGCAGGAAACAAGTCATGATGGGTGAATGATGGACACAATTTACTGTCACAAGGGCAATACGAGTGAGGGTGCTAGGCTAACTGAATTTCAGTGTTACCACTAGACTGAAAAAATCCACTTTCTGGACTGCTTGGTAATGATAGGATTCATCAGCATCTCCAGCTATGCTCCACTGGGTTTTTCAATCTTGAATTCCTCACCCTACCTGTAACCATTCCATCTGCGAAAGGTAACTAAGGCATGACTGATCATCCCTGGGAAGATGAGCCTGGATGAAGAGGGAGCTAGCTAGGGTGGGTGCAAAGCCTCAAAAGATTTAGGTATTTACCTGTGGCCCTCCCCCCCACACCTCTTGCCACCATGTGGGAGCTACTCACCTCTGCCACCCTTAGGAAGTGGACAGTTCTACGGAGAAACTCTTCCAGCCCCAAGGAGACAAAACATCTCAACTTAGAACTTGTTAAAGAAATTACAATGACTAGTTTCTCACACTCTTTAGGACCTGCTGCTCCTAAGATCCCTCTGTAATATGTTCCTTCATTTTCTTAAGACACCTTCTATAAACCCATTGTACAGAGACATCAGAATATATAAGAAAGCCCAGTCTGGGCTCATACAGTAGAAATCTCTTCAGTTCCCTATCACCACAAATTAAACACCCGGATCTGTCAGGCATGCCAGACCTCTCTCACTGGCCCACCACCCCTTCTCCTTGGTGGTGAACACCATGACTGACCATGTAGGGAGATTCTTTCCTGGAAGAAAATGTCTTCATCTTCCCTGCAGAAAAACTCTCCACTTTGCTCTATGAGGCAGGTAGCACCTCCAAACCACAGGTAGGTTGGAGACTGCGCAGGCCTCAAGGACCCAAGGGACTGAAGTTATGGGTTGAAAGGGGTAAAACTGAGCAGTCCAACAATGAAAGTGGATGTTTTTGAGACCCAGAGCTTCTTGTAATAGGCTATTTAAAGGCAGGCCTGATAAGCACCTCTCAGGGATGCTTAGGGGGATTCGGGTATATAATGCAAGGGTGAATTGGTTAATCTAAATTAACTTAGATAATTTCTAAGATCCTTTCCAACACTGAGATTCTGTGATTCTAAATGAGCAATTCTTTAACAAAAAAGGGCTCTAGAGGGGCAGCTAGGTGGCGCAGTGGGATAGAGCATGGGCCTAGGAGTCAGAAGGACCTGAGTTCAAATCCAGCCTCAGGCACTTGACACTTACTAGCTGTGTGACCCTGGGCGAATCACTTAACCCCAATTGCCAAAGCAAAAAAAAGAAAAAGAGCTCTAGAGATCACAGCTTTCTATGTCACTCCACCTCCCCCACCCCAAAATAGGTTATTTTCTTCTTAAAGAACTCTAGTGAAGGTACCATTGAAGATGTCAAGGGCTGTCTGTGGTGGATGGGGAAGCTCAGTGTAAAGGTCTGGAGCTGAACTATTAATGGGAAGTTGGATTCTGTTTGCCTGCTGGTGTTTATTTCCTTGGACGGTCCCAAAGACCCAGCCCCTGGTAGTGCAGCGGCTCCCATCAGGGAGGCCAAGGAACCACACACAAAGCCTCGGACCCAGACAACTGTACATCATTTATTGGGCACACCCGTACACTACAG